CGTCGATTAAATTCGTTTTTCAAAATAATGGAAAGCAAGACCATTGTCAACAAAAACATGTTACAGTAAAAAATAAATATAGAAAAAGATATGCAGAAACATGGTACAAGTTATTCCTTAGTATAACCAGTTTCCTTGTTTATTTTATGATAATATTTATCACTTCCACTAATTTACAGTTTGCACACCCCCGTCTGGGCACGCATTACATAAAAAACGATATATATATTCTATTTCGCATTACGTATTTATCGTAATGGTACATATTAAGATATTACTATATTAAATGTATTATTGCTTCCTATCCGGCCATAAATACAAAATCTACCAGAAGTCGCGTTGTACATTTGGAAGCAACGATTTATTTACTTCAATTGTTATTTAGAATTAAATTTGTCTTTATCACATTGTTAAACTAATATTAACTCTGTTTTAACTGTGTTTTTCGTGTAAGCAATCTTTCAATAATAAAATTTTATTTTAAAATGTTTAAAATTGTCGTATTTTAAACTTCCCCTTAAAATATTCTGTGAAATTTCCATTGTTCTCATTAAATATTTGTTGTTTGATAGTTTCCCGAATGTTACGAATATTGTAAAACCGATGAAGAATAATTTCAGTCACATTCCAAATGTCTAGGGCATTATTAATAGCAAGCTTGCGTACTTCTTTGCTAAAAAAAATTGCATTGTAATGGCGTGTGCTCCTTTCTTCTGCGAGAGAGGTGCTAAAACTACTATGCTAATTGATTTTGATTTATTATTGTGGAATGTCATCTGTTACGGACAGGGTATAGGACCAAAACTTATTATAGTCTTCCTCAACATTTTCTGAATGTCCTGTATAATGATATTTTTTTTTTAATTTTTCTGTTTTAACTTGTACGAACATTACAATTGTTTTGTTACAAACACTTCTCTAAACGTTCTACTCTCGATGACATTTTTCTAACAAGGAAGAAATATAACTATAAAAGTCCTTTCTTAATGAGCCCTGCCTCATAGAATGGGATTAGTATTTTATATTTTTTCTACTAAAATTATATTTTTTCTATGCAATAGAAATTAGTTGACAATTTGACATATTTACTACCTAAAAGTTGGATTTAAAATATCAATTTTTAATTTTTTATTTCTAACTAAAAGCTACTTAAACTTAATTATGCTATTTAAGAATACAAGTTAGGAAATCCAGTATTGAAATCAATCAATCAAGATTCAAATTAATCTTCAGAACACTTTATATCTTATTTAAAAAAATTATAAATTTACTGAACAATGTATAAACTTC